CCCCAAAACCCCAAAACCCCAAAACCCCATACCAGCATTAACATGTTGAACGGCCAAATGAATTATGGCCGATGCTTAGATATGTATAATTTTAGAGGGATTAAACTACCTTGGAGTACTTTAAGTACTGTTGAATTGGCCGAGGAGCTTTGCAGTAAAGATTATGAAGCTTTCTGATGGGTAAAGTAGTTTTACCGAAACTTCAGAAACTAAAACTGAATTAAGCAAGAAGTTTTCGTAGATACCTTTAGGAAAACTTCACCTATCACCAATATGGATTTGCTCTGGTGTATTTAGGATACGAGAAACGTACATTTATGATTAGTGAATACTTACTTGATTATTTTCATGGTTAATAATATATTCTTAGAAGAGACCTGATATCACAAAAATAGGAAATATTCCATGTTTAATTAATTTATATACAGCTTCTTGTTTTGATCTCGATCTTGATCAAAAGAAGCAAAGATGTAGGTGATGTTTGCTCTCATATTTATCCAATGCATTTTATGTCAGAATGCTATCTAAAATACAATCAGGTAAGAGTTTATCGATTATGAAATTTTCAAAAGCACTTATGAAAGTTTCAAAGACACCATGCCAAAAGTAATGACTCTCAGAGATTTTATAAAACTTCAAACTTAGGTGATAATTTTCCTTCTAGTTTACCTCTACTTTGCTGTCCCCTTTAGATCTAGATATCTGGGTTATTAGAGAATTTCTGAAGTCCCTTTGGGAAATATTGGATAATAACATGTTGATAATCTTTAGTGGTCTTTTCTCAACCAGACTCAGCTCCTGATGAAGATCTGATGCTATTTCAAGGCGATTTATCGTAGGTTTGAAGTCCTTGTATGAATATCTACGTTCATTCAGGAATTATCACGAGTTTTAATAATAAACCTTACTAAAATTTCTGAATTTTCAAACTAATTTCAGTTCTAGGGATCCTGAACAAGCGGATGCCTTTATAAGCTTATTTCGACTACGGAAAAGCATCTCGACCTGAATCACCATGTCAAAATTTATGTAGAATTATTCAGAATTCCATAACTTTCCTGACCAAATTTGCCCCATTAGCTTATAATCTTTCTTGGAGGTACAGAATTTAGCGAATTTTAAATACGAGCACTTCAACAGAAGGGTAATTAAGCTGAGCAGAATTATTTGAAGTAAAAAGTTCTTCTAATTCACCCGATTTTCTATAAATATGATAAATGTTATAAATTTCTACAATTATGTCACCCCAAGATGGGTAGTAAAAAGTCGTATCTAGCATGAATCTGTAATAATAATGGCTAGATTAAAGACCTGCTGCGTAGATATGGAATTATCTAGGAGCCCTTCCAAAACAACCGCAGGTTTCCTGCCTAAAGAGCTATCGACCAAAAAATCTTGAGTATTTATGAAAAATTTGTTATTATGAATTAGTAGTTGTCGGCCTTAGTACCTTAACTAAGGTACTATAAAGTAATTAAGAAGCCTGTTGATTCCTAGCAGGATCTAGCAGCACAAACAAGTTTCTGTAAGCTTTCTGTTTCTTAAGAATTCCGATCTTTTTCACACGTCCTTGCTCTTGGTCTCAATCTGAAGAGCAAACCTTCGTTCCGTTTTGGGATGTAATATAGTATGGAAATACTGCACTTCTTGGGATAGGTCTTAAGTCCCTGTTGTTATCACTAAGCTTCCGCCTGCTAAAAGCAGGGGCTTTATTGCCAATAATACTGGTTTCAATAGGTCTCAATGTCTTTTTCCTCTCTCCAAGCATGCTGTTCACAGCAGGCTTGTTCTCTTGGCTGACTTTTGAATGCAATGAAGTAATTCTTAATGATTCCATTTAGTATTTATGATTAATAAATAATAATTTTTTGATTCATTTTTTAAATATAATTCGGGGTTTTGGGGTTTTGGGGTTTTGGGGTTTTGGGG